GCAGCCGGCGGGAGCGGGGAGGGCGGGTTCCCGCCGAAAAAGCCCCCGACCCTCTCGCCGGGGCTGGGCCGGGGGTGAGGGAGCCGTGCAGGGTCAAGCTGGGGGAGAGTCGCCCCTCGTTCCAACTCCTTGCCCAGCTTTTTCAAGGCTGCTTGGTTCCTGATACATCTGCCGTTGAAGTGCGGTATTCTCGAGACGCATTTGGAAACGAATCATCTCTTTCTCATGGTCCAATAAAACTTTGGATACTTTTTTCCTAAGACATGAACTCAGTTTACTACAGTTTTTGGCAATCTGAGACTTTTTAGGGTTGGGGGTGTTTGGTGGTTTGTTTTTTTTTTTTTTTTTCTGGGTAAACTTCAAGCAAATATGTACCTCTATAACACAGATTTTTGTTGCACTGTTTAGGGGAAGAAAAAACCCATGTATATGTTGAGTTTCCAAAGCATCTTCCCCTGTAGTGTGTAGCTCTACTACTGGCATCCAGATTGCACCAGTATTCATTTCTGCTCTTAGTTTTCAAGGCTGCAGCTGCTGTTGTAACAGCAGACTGTGTTACTGCCAAATTTGTGTTGACTGAACAACAGTGTTAGTGTTAACTAGTGTTTGCTCTAGGCACATTCCAGGTATGTAACTGCTTTTGAAGCAAAGCCTAGCTTAAAGTAGATATCCTCATTGTCTTGAGCGGAAGGTGTGTATTCTTAATTGTTGGTTGCTGGCCTATTACATAATTATTTTCATGTCAGGGTAGGGATAGCAGTTGTTTTCATGGGTGCATGTTAAGAAAGCTGGAAAAACAAGTCCTCCTTCAGCTTTAGTTTATGAAGGATTGTTCTAAGCGCAACACACATCTGTTCTTCTGCCATGCAGGTTTATTGTGAAACTTGCAGCATCAATGAGAAATTAGCAGTAAACCACATACCACAAGCGTTCAGTGTTATCTAAGGAAGATGCAGTGTTCTGGTGCAGACCTCTGAAGGAGCTGGTAAGTGAGAGTTTAGGCCTTTACAAATGTGTTGTTTGTGAGGCTGCGTTTTGACCTTTCTGTTTTATCATGACTAATTCAAGGTCACAACAGAATTAAGAAGCCTTTGGCAGTGGAATGAGTGTGATATAGCTTTAAACTCTGATCTGCTGAGTGAATTAAAAAAACACCTGAAATTTAGGCAATGTTTCTTTTTACTGCCATCTTTTTCAATGTACCTGAAAAAATTACCTTGCTCCAGCAACACTTTAAGTAAGAAAGATATGGATAATACAACAGAAATAATAGATACACAGCTATATGTATGGAAAATGTAGACATAAAGATGAATTGAAGAACGCTTGCAGGAGTGGGAGGAGAAAGTCTTTTAGTGCTTAGTGTTCATGAATTGCTTGCATTCTTTTTTAAAAGCAACACGAAGAAGAATTCGCTTAGCGAATCTTGATGTGTTTAGCTTATGTGTATTGTGGCACTTGAGATCCAAGTTGACAGGGATTTGAGATTTGTTTCAAATGTGAAACTGTGGTGTGAAATACTTGTTTTAATTAAAATGTCTGTGTTCTCAAAACTGTATTGGCATCTCAAGTACAAATACTTTCTAATTCGGGCTCCAGTTTGTACATGGCATTATCTTTTTTTCCATAATCCAAAGAGAAAACACTGCCAAACATGAAACATACTCCATGGGCTTGTAAATTGTTTTGCTGTGGGTGTCTGATCCTGATCAAATTCAAGTACTTAATTTAAAAACGAAAACTCTTTCAGAGGCATGGTTAGTCTTTGCGTATACTGAATGTCTTGGAGGCTCTAGGGCTTTTTCCATTCTAAAATTACAATTATGGTGTAAAATATTGTTCGGGTTGGCAATAGAATGGTTATGATTGACTTGTGGCTGGAAAGCAGTAAAATGAGTTGTTACTTCTGTGGTTTTGTATGGGGAGACCAATTAACAGTACGAATCCCTACTTGAAGTTGCTGTCTTGTTTGGAAGTTCTGCACTTATTTATTCTTTAACTTACAAGTTACAAGCTCTTTCCAAGCTTGCCAAGGTGTGGCACAACCAGGCTTCAGGAACACTATATATGTTTTTCATCATATTACATACAAAGAGTATGGATGCCTAAGTCTGTCTGCTATCTTTCATGGGCATTACCCTAAAAAAAAAAGTAGATATCTAGTGTTATCTTCATGGCTTGAATTTCTGCCTCATTCAGACAGATGTTATTTGTATATTATATTAATGGGCTTCTAATTTTTACTGGCTGATAGAGAATCCAGCAGGATGTGAAGAAGTGGTTCTGCGACCAGGAATAAAATGTAAATTGAGTAAATATAACATATGTCTAATATGTTTGGAATCTTTAAAGCAGCGTGTTCATCTCTGCTTTCCTTTTCCTGCAGTTAAAACTGGTTCAAACAAAAAACCAACCAAACAACAACTACATATATATAAAGCTTAGCTATTGTCTCTCTCTCACAGAAATAAAAAATATTGGCTGATGATTTGAGGGCAAATAGATCTCGTGTCCTATTTCTACTGGAACAGCTGCAGGGCAGATCTTCTAGTTTGTTAGACTCACCATTGGCTGTGAACCAGTATCTGTCATAAATGCAACAGTATTGTTAATTAGTATCTTCATTTATTTGTTTAAAATACATCCGTCTCTAAGCACATCCTGAGGATCGTTTAAACATTAGACTTTGCTGGACTGCCTTGAAAAACCCTGAAGTTTTGTTACTCAACTCTTACTGCAATAGAAAGGCATAAAAAGAAAAAAAAACCTTTGTTTTTAGAAGGTTAAATGTGCAAATTAAAGTTATATCCAGTGTGATCTAAAACAGAATTATTCATAGCATTTATATAAGTACTCTTATACTGTCATACACAAGTGGAAAGCTCTCTGTCAAGCTAGGTAAGTGCAATGCCTACATCCGCAGTCATTTACCGAGTTGTAAGTAGCTTCTGTTCTGCTCAAATGTGCTCAAGAAGAAACTGTTGCCATCAAAGCTATGTTAGGTGTTCCTGGCTTTTGGGGGTGTGTACTGCACTCTAGAAAGGTTGTCTCCGTTCATCTTCTGAGATGACTTCACCTTTTTGTTAAAACAGGTGTTTGCATTTGAGGTATCTTGTCACCCCAGGTATTGTTGAAAAATAACATTAAAGCTTTTTAGTCAGCAATTTATGGGCTTAGCTGTAGGTTAGAAATGTATCTTTCCATCCTCGTGTGAAATTCCCAAAGCTAAATTTTCCCTGCTGTTTTTGGCAGTGCCGTCACTTTCCAGCATTTCTGTAAACTGCCATAATCCAACTTAATTTTCACTCCAGAATGTGGTGGCGGTACCCTTCCTGAAGCGAACTAGCTCTTAGTATCTCATTCTGGAGAATCTCTGTATGTACAAAGGCTCCTTGCTGCTTACATTCCTTGGTTCCTATAATCTACATTGCCAACAGCAAGGCTAATTGGGCACTGTCTCAGCCTTTGTCAGCCAGCTTCACACCCATACAGCACTTACATTGACTATCTGCTTTTCATTTTAGTATAGGTGTCATTTTATTTACATGTATGTAAATGTGAACTGATGCAATCATGGATGGTGCAGCTTGATGCTGACAGACCTGACATCCATTGTTACGCTTAAATTGGACGGTATCAGGATAGTGCAAGCTTTTCCTGCTCTGCCCCAATCCTCACTAACTGTAGAAATTAGTTGTAGCAGTAAGACTGGAGTTTGATTTTTCAGTCCTTGATCTTGGAGCTCTCAGCTGATAGCAGGGGATAATAATAAGTTTTCCCACCAAGCTGAACTAATCTTGTTTTGAAGTTGAGGCAACAGGCTATGTGTAAGTGATTTAAAAAACTGCACTGAAATTAATCATAGGAACTGCTCAATGATTTTTTTCTTTAGAAAAACAACTTGCCAGGGGTCATGGTATGTATTTTGCAGTAATTTAAAACTCATCTACTGGATTATTAGTTAACAAAAATAGTAACAAATTTCAGTTTGTGAAATGAGTCACTAAAGGAGTTTTCCCCTGCAGTTGAAGGCTTTCCTTCAGATGCTTTCTCTTATTACGCTCTGGTTAGAGGGCCTTGTCTGTCCCCATGTTTTACTTAAAATATGAAAGACTATATTTTGGTAAAGCCATCAGGCTGCAGGTACAGCAGTTCTGAGGACTGGATGTGGCTTCCAACATCATATTGCCTAGAGAATAGGCAGATATTATAATATTGACATAAGGAGTGTCTGAACAATGTAGATCAAGCATGACGTAGTGCCTTTTAGTTTATCCAAACAATTTGATGTAAGAAATGTGGACTTTCTTTAGGTTATGTGTGGGGTTATATGGCAAAAGTGGAGGGGGGGGAAAAAGCAAGGCTTGTAGCAGACTATCTACAATATTCTGTTCCGCATTGAGAAAGTCTGTTCTCAGGCAATTGAGAAATACTCCTTGTTAACAGACAGACTTCATTAATGCTTCATGACTGTGCTGTCATGGGAGAAATTAATTGCAGTATTGCCTTTTCAAAGTGGCCTGTGCTCTCTCTCCTGATACAAATCCATCACAGTTCAGCGCTGCAGCCAGAGGAGCCTGTAGCTGCGGGGAGGCTTATCAGTGGTGGTGCCAGGCGGTAACCGTTCTATTGCGATCACATTGATTTTTAGATCCGGGGTGTGGAATAGTCTCTGCGTGGCCCAGTTTGGAGCAGACTGATAAGGCTCCTTGTTTCTTAGCAACCACAGTCTGACCTAGCCAGAAACCTGCCCCTCTGCAGCTGGAGGGAAAATTCTGAATGTCTCAAATTTGTGTCTTGAACGAAGGTAAGTCATTCCTTACGGCATATTTAGTTTAAAGGCCTTTGCATTCAAATAAAAGGAATATGTTGGCAAAAGTTCCTTAACAAAGGGAAAGCGTAACTAGTAAGATATTCTAATTTCTTTCCCTGTTCTTATTTAGACCTGTGTCTTTCCTGGGCATGGAGGTGCCATATGTCCTTCTCTTAACTAGACTCGTAGCAGAAGTTGCCAGCAAATCTACTGAAAGTTCGGTAGGTACTTCATGTTTTTTGTCATGTTAGGTGCTATAAAAACAGAAGGATCAGATTATTTTCCTCTCACGTTGCAGTTCATAGAAGCCTCTCTAATTCAACAGAAACGACCTATACTGCTAGCGGTCATTAACTGCAACTTTTACAGTGGGTCAATTTGGTATGATGGCTGATTGCCTATTAAAGCATTGAATTCTTCCTAGTCATGTGCTTGTAGGCTATCAGGGATACAACCGATAATGCCTCACACCATGTGGAAAAAGCACCCCGATGATCAAAAAACCACTTTTCAGCCTGCTTGGTGGTTTAACTACGAACAATCCAAAACATAGATACCCAAAAGTTAACTTTTTAGATGACGGAGAAGCTCCGAAGCAAACACTGCTTCAAGTCACAGAAAAAGGTCGGAGTATAAAATTCTGCTTGCAGGAGAGTTCGATCAACAAAACTTCTTAAGAAACTGGTCATAAGTAGGTTATCCATAGGTCTTCTGGTTCTTTACTATAGTCTGCCTCCCTGTGATACACTAACAGTGTGAAGTCGGCCTACTAATTTCAGTTTTGACAGTCCCAACTATTTCTCCTGATAGCTTTGATCTCTGTCACCCCTGGATTTGATGGGTTTTGCTGATAAGCCTGGCTGTTACATGTTAGGTATATTTAACTTACTTCTATGGCTGAATATAGATCAGGTCTTGTTACTTTTGACCAAGAATATTTCATCTCTTTTTAAGACTGATTTGACTTGCTGTATTCTTTAGGGGAATGTACTTGCAAAACTTTAAAAGGTGTGGGAGTTTTGTGGCTTATTTTTCTTGTACAGATTCAGAGAGTGGATGTGCCCAACTCTATACGGGATGTTACTAATACCTATCAAAAGAACCACAGAGTTTCTGACAACCATTTATCTCTAGGCTTATGTCACAGCTTGTTGTAATTTGTAAATAATTTAGAAACTGGCTTTTATATAAACAAACAAAACATAAAAATAAACTATGTGCCTTCAGGATATGTGAAGTTATTCTTTTATATTAAATGTTGAAGGAGGAACCTTTTGTAGTTCTGCTGGGTTGCTCTGCTGAATGTAGATGTTATGAACACTTGCAATATGGGCATTCGGTGAAAACTGGTTTTTGCCAGTCATTTTGCCAATAGTATTTCTGAGCAAATCCGTTAGGGCATTTGTGTGGTGTTGTGGGAAGGATAACTCCCCCTCTGAACTGTGCTTCACTGAAGAATTTAGCAAGTATATTTCTAAAGCAGTTTTTTGAGGTTTTGTCCAATGTCAACAGTAGAGTGTGCATTTGTTCTCAAAGTGTTAGTTTGGGTAGCAGCTGCCAGGTCAAAATCAGCTTGGTGGTGCATCTAGCTTGTTCTCTCCTTGTAAGGTTGCTTAATGCAAAAAGAAAAAGTTGCAGCAAGCTTTAGCTGTAGTTGCTGCTTATTCCTCTGTGATTTTTTTTTTTTTGTTGAAGCATTTTAGTAAACTTAAGAACTGGGTGAAACATAATGTAATTTCTTTTGTTAGGTTTCAGAAACAGAATGCTGTGTGGATATGTTGGATTCAAACAGTTCCTGTCCAGTAACCAACCAGTGCAGTCCAGGTATAGTGTGGCATTGTTTAATAAAATTCCAGATTGTTTTTGACAGTTAACACCAAAATACAGTGCCTGATTAACTGGGAAGTGAAAACAAAGTAATTGGTGCATGTACATATTGAAGCCTTTCTTCCTCTATAGACACAAGGTAATGCTTCTTATGACTCTCAAATGTTGTTCTTGCATGGTAAGGGGAATAGACAACTATTAATAAGATTATTCTTTAACTTTTTTTATTTAGTGTGCAGTTGGATTATGCAAGAGCTATTGTAAATGCTTAAAAGCCCTAAAAGCCTGTATAATGAGCATAAAAAGCAAAAATTCTGTAATGCCTATCTAAGGGAGCATTAAAAATAACTTCAGTATTGTCTTGTTAGCACAGAATGCCTCATTCTTCCTTGTGCCATATATGTAGAGCTGTGTTCTTCTAAATGGAGTTTAAAAACTTCTGTCACTCTCCAGCAGTAGCAGAAGGGTGATCTTTTTTAATGCCATTTTACTTAGAATCAGAGAGTAAAAGCAGGGAAAATGGCTTCAGAGCCCACAGTAACAAGAGAATTGGTGACTTAAAAATTGGGGTCCCCTTCTGGGTTCAGTCATTTCCTTCTGATGGCTGTTAAAGCATTTTAAGCCTATCTATTTTCACTGCTTCGTTAACTTCTCTAACTGTTGCTTCATTTAATGCATTCATTTCTGCTTCTAAATGATCTTAGGTAGGGCATAAACAATTGTCTCCAAGTTATGGGATTGTGTTCTCTTAAATCTTATTGTAAACTGATAATCCACCAGTATCTTTGCTGTCAGATAAGTGCTTTGATGCTTTCTTCCTATTGCTGTAGAAAGTCTTTGCCTTTATGTTGGGTCTGTTTGTGTTTAGATTAAATGTCAGATGTAATTTATTACTGTGGGCATCAAACGTGCTGCTTCTCTCTAAGGAAAACGTAGCAGCAGAGCTACTACTACTGCATTTTCAAATCAGCACCTTACTAATGGTTTGCTTTATGGGATAATTGATACCTGTTTGGCTCAAGGCTCTATAGAAGAGGATTTTAGCCAGCACAGTAAGTTGTTTTTTGTTTTTTTTTTTCCTTTAAATGTAGACCATAATATGATGTAGTAGGAAAATCCTTCTAATCTTCATGTCTCAAGTCTAAGCCTCAAGTGAAACCATCATAGCTTTGTTGTATTAAATGAAGTTGTTATTGAAGATGTGCCCTAATTTTTTTTTTCTTAACAAAGACTTAGCAGTATGTGCATTTAAACATAAATTGAGAGATTTGAACATTGAAGACATAGGCCAAGCTGAAAGTTCAATCAGTTTCCAGCCTGCATGGTAGGGTGACTGATATAAAACACTCACCATCTGTCACAGAATAGTTTAAACAGGCTTGGGCTCTTCCTAAAGTGAAACAAATAGTACAATACTTGAGAGAACTGAGGCATGGGAAAAAGGCTTTATTATTGCAGTATTCGTATTTTTAGCTTGCCATGCTTCAAGTGATTGACTATAGGGACGCCAGCATCTTTTTTCATCCAAGTACGTTCTTTCTGGTCCCTGCCTACTTCTGTTTTCAATACTATATATTAAAATAGTATTAGATTTTGTTTTGACGGTGTATGACCCCTGAAAATAAATAGTAAAATTCTGCTGCTTTTTTAGTATTGTTGAGGGTAGTTACAGGTTGTTAGACACTTCACATGTTTTAGTTTTGAGAAAAATGGGAAGCAGTGAATGGAGCTATGTTGAAATTGCCCTCTGGGAGTTGTTTGCTAGTAACTCTTTCTCCTTTTTGGCCCTTGAAAGGTTTTCTCTTTTCTGGAATAAACACTTTGAAATGAAACCTCTTAACTTGTGTAATATAATAGGAAGCAGGAGGTGTTTGTAACCAGTAGCCCAAACAGAGGGAATTTCTATTGCCTCTACCTCTTTCTGAAGACTGGGAAATACATCCAATGTTGCTTTTGTTGTTTTCACACTTCTGTACATCTTATTCTTATGCAGGTTGTTACAGGCGATGGAACGAGGATGGTAGTAGCAGCTGCATTAAATGCAAAAATGAAACTCTTCCTGTTTCATCTGTTTACAATCTGACTGAATGCAGAAATAGTGAGTCATTCACCATCCCTTTATTTTGATGGGTGGTTTTTGGTACTGAGATCTCTTCTTGCATGTGTGGTCCAGCAAAGACTGTTCAAGAAGGGATCAAATGTGGCAGATTTTTTTCCCCCTCCCTTGTAAAACTTCAACCTTTTCCAAAGTCCTAATATAACTTTGAGCTTTTGAACATGCAACAAAACCTACGGAAACCTTGAAATTTAGTTTGCAGAAACTGTGCGAAGTGCTGTGGAACCATTCTAGGGGCGGGGGGGATATCAAAATCTTGTTGTGTATTACCTAATCTATGAAGCCAAATGCAACATTTTAAAAAAAAAAAAAATCATTCTGCCCAATGTAAGTTCTTAAAATAAAAAACTCCTAAACATCAAAATGATTAAACTTACAGGGTAGGACCTGTATCAAACATACAGTGAATACTGAATTTTGTGGCTGCTTTAATCTCTGCTGTACAAAAAAGGCATTTGCTGTGGGCGTTTGCTAGGGACTTCTCCAGAGCACAAAATAGCTCAGACTGTACTTGAGTTCTTTGAAAAATCTATATTAAGAAGGCTAGATTCATTTTGTATGTGTGCTTTGTTTGAGAGGTGAGAACCATTCAGTTCCTTGTAAATATTTTTAGTGAAAGAGATAAGAAACTTACATCAAGTTTCTGGGAAATGCACTACTGAATTACCTTGGTTTTGGACAAATTATGGTGATGCTTGTTTGCTTCCTTTTTTTTTTTTTTTTGAAATTCTCAAAAGTGATATAAAGAATGAATTTTTCATGGCAGAAATAAGGATTCTTATACAATTTCAAATAATTACTGAGCAGTATAATAGCTTTTTACTAAGATTTCCAACAAATCTGTAGTTTTTGTCAGATTTTACTGTAAAAAAAAATTCTTTCTCATTCCAGCTGGTATCAGAGGAATGAATTTCCAAATGAATATAAGCACCGTAACTCCTTTCATACAGAACATAGGTGAGTAAATGGAAATAGCTGTTGAGTGCAGGCTTTGTGATTATTCACTGTGTACCAGCCCCTTCATGACACAGCACTGGAAACTAGTTGTAAAATATGTTTTTCTGCAGCATAGGTTTTATTCTAAATGTAGTAGCCATTTTTACTTTTTCTGGATTGTTCTCAACAAGTCTTTTATAAGTCTTAGAGTTGAGTTTTGAGGTAACTATTTTACTGAACATTTCTTTCGTCTTGTCCTAGTGATCTTGAAGTGCTTTTCTGGTACAAATTGAGCTGGTTATTTATGAAACCCCATAACTTGAGTTTTGAACCTTGTGCTGCAAGAGTTTTGGTTTTTAGGGGTGAAGCAACATGTTACATGTCTGTTACATCTTGGTTAGCCTTTCTATAGGTTGACATTATTGCTGCTGACCAGTCCTTTCTGTTTAACCACCTAAAAATACTTGTTTGACACTGGTTAAGAATAATACAAATTGAGAATATTTAGATAGCAGCATTGCACACTTCAGCAAGAGAGAGGATGCCAGATGAAGTGATTTAGTGTTACAGGGTGAGTGCTTATCATCAGTGCTCTTGAAAAGGAAAGCCAAAGAGCCTTGTCAAACTTGGGTGCTGCTGATCCCTTTCTAACATTTGTCTTGTCATGTGTGTATACTGGAAGTATCTAGTGCTGTTCAGAATGTGGACTTGTCAAGCAGAGCTTGTCAGATAGATCTGTTGTCCTAGTTTGTCTGCAACAAGATCATAAACAACTTTTGTTTCTTAAAATACTTGCTCTTTAGGATCATAATCTTAAATAAAGCAGCAGAATAAACACGCAGGGCATTTTTTGAGGCAGGGGAAGGGGAACAGAGGTGAGGGCACCTTTTGCTAATGTCTGCCTCCCTGGGGTGGTTTCTAGATCAGTCACTCATGGAAAACATAATACTGGGTGTGCTGTACCAGTGGTATATTGTCTGTTGACAAGTTCTGTCTTTAGTAGACTTCATTTAAGGACTAAAAACACTGAATGTTGAGTGCCTCCCAGCACTGGTTTTGAAAGTTATATAAAAGAAACAGAAGGATGGATTAAAAATTTGTGGCTGTCTTCAGGAAAGTAGGGACTAAGGCTTTCCTGATGTTTGGCAGGTGGGGTTGGGGAAGTTGTTCATATAATGAAATGAGTATTGAAAGATCTTTGCAGATGTTTCGGTGAGGTCTGCCTGTATGTTAAAAAAACAAACCAGCCAACCACTTTGTTTTCTCCTATGAATATCAGGAAGTTGGTTTTTATCTTTTGTTTAACCCTTCTTTTAGAAGAGATTTCTAGTGAATAACAGTCTTTTCTCTCTTTTTTTTTTTTTTTTTGTACAGGGGGCCCAGGAGTGGCAGCCTCTCTCATATTAGGGACATTTTTCATCAGTTTAGTCCTGATTCTCTCTGTTGCTTCTTTCTTCTACCTCAAACGTGCCAATAAACTTCCTAATATTTTCTACAGAAGAAACAAAGGTAAAGTACCTCTAATTGCCTATTTAATGTCTAAAGTTTTGGCCTTTGCTCAGTTTCTTAATTTAAAACCTTTTTAATTTCTTCGTGTCAGTGTTCTAACTGCTATCTCTTTTGATCATCCAAAGCAATGCAAACTAATGAAAAATTTTCTCCTGTTATGTGCTTACAGTATCATGCTTTCATGGCAGTGCAGAAGATGTCTGTTCTCAGTCTGTGTGCTTAGGTGCATATTGCACAGTATCTCTCACTAACCCAGCTATTGGTTTTTGTAGCTTTCAAAGATTTGCCGGAGTGTGCTACTTGATGTTAGTTGTCACTGAATATTAGATACCTGATTTCAAAAAAGAAAAGAAATCAGTGCTTTTTGCACAGAGGGCATTTTGGCATTTTTATAGAACTTAATAATACTTGTTTATTTCAGTACACAAAATGCCAGATGTTTATAAAGCCTTACAAAAAGCAGTTGTTTATTTTTGGTTTAGAGAGAACTGTAATACTAAAGGGCAGTGTACTCACCATGGATGTGTCAGCAGCAGAGAAAGGGAATGGGACTTGAGGTTCCTCATTACTGCACTACTCATTCAACTGTGTTCACCCTCTAAATGCAGGATTTACTGGGGCTTGGAAGAGCTAACTGCCTGCTTTTTTTTTTTTTTAAAGCAAACACCCCTTAGCTTTTCTTTTTATAGTGAAAATTTTATTCTTTATTTCTGGCATTCCT